ACTATATTTCAACAGACATATTTGTTGATACGTGATGAACTGAGTCTGACCTCATCAGATGAGTTGAAGACATGTAACAAATCTTATGTGTTATTTAGATTATACGTTATATAATTGATATGAAGCTTCATCAAAAGATTTGGAATCTTATTAATAAAACCTAAACTAATTAAGGGAACACTAGGAAAAAAAAAACATAACATCATGCTTGGATAGATAATTTTACAATTTTTTTAAAATTTCAATTAAATTTAAATTGTTTTCCTTTCTAATTGGTTATATATTCTAAATAAAACATTTAGATAAGTCAATTCAATTTTATTTTACTAGATAGAATATTTCGATTACCACAAATTGAAAAATTATCACCATAACAATAATATTGTTGATAAGAAAATATATCTTTCAAATATTAACAAAAAAGAAAACACTACAACCTTCAACTTAAAAAATATGATTGATATTACATAATAAATATCAACATACCATGACATTAATGTCAACAAACGTCAACATCAACTAAAACTAATTAAAATTGATGTTAAAAAATTGTGTTTGACATTAGTTATCGACAAAGAAATCTAACTAACGTCAATTATATTAATCTATATATAAAACAAAAAAACAAAATAAACTCTTGACAACAACTAAAATGTAATCAACATAGACTTTAACCTTAAAGAAAACATCACCAAAATTAGTTAAAAAATGGGCGGATCACGTCCCGACCTTTGTTGAACCATAATAACATCATAACCATGTCTCAACCAAAGTTGAACTAGAGAGAAAATATGAACAGAAAATACATATATTTTAAAACTCGAAATATAAAAAATTATAATTTCTTAATCTGTAACTAAACTAAAAACAATTTAATTATAAGTAATTGAATTATTATAATATATTTATAAAATTATATTTTAAAAAAAGTTATAAAAACAACATATTTTATCACAGATTTCAATTTCTATATAAAAATAAATCATCCTCTAAAAATTTTTAAATTTACTCTATAAATTCTTCCAAAAACTCTTTGAGACCTAAAGTAAATGAAGAAGCGAAGAATCTAGCTACTCTCAAACTAGATGTATTAATTAAATCTCTTGGAGCACATGAACATGAACTTATGGATGAGATGAGGCCAAAGTGAAATAAGCCAAAGGCACTTAATAAACAAGAAAATCAAGAAAAAAAATTTGCATTTTACATTAACTGATAACGGAAAACATGAACTTTAAACTTTAAAGGAAGATCATTAATTAAAACTTGTATGTAGAAATAATGTTTTTCAGAAGGGAGTATAAAGGTAATAGAACCTCACAATTAAAATTTGTTATATGAACACAACAAACTTGACACTCATGACACATCATTCTATTTTAAAAAAAAAATCATAGGAAGAAAAAATATTTATCATTTGTCGTAAACATAGATGAGATATCATCTAATTAAAAAGTTAATTTTAGTCTCATAGATATCTAAAGTAACTTTTACATTAGTTGCTAATTTTTAATTCCAACTATTAACTTTTACATTTCAATTACTAATTTTTTGTTTTCGTTACTAATTTTAATTTTTTTTTAAATTAACTTTTATATTTCCGAAATTAATACTTATATATATGTTACTTATGATAGTTAATTGTTTACATTTCTGTCCCCAAATATATTTAATAATTGATTTATTTTATTTATTTCACTCGTCAATTAATTCTGTAGATTTATAGATTTTTCGATCTATAGATTTAATTGGTGATGTCAATGAGAAAGTTGTCTGGAGTAACAGAGGTTTGGGACGTTGAAAAAAAAAAGTTTAGTTTTGGATCCATACAAAGCATGTTTTTAGAGTTGCAGGCTATTGCTTCGTGCACAAGATATAAAATTTTATATATTTCGAATTACTTATTTTAGAATATTTAAAAAAAAATTAGTTTAAATAACGATTTTGAAAATCAGATCAAATTGTCTGATTCAATAGGTTGAATTGAGAACTGAACTAGGAATTGATTTGTTAATTCTAAATAATCAAAACAAAACTAAAAAATCCGAGACAAAATAGATAAAACTAGAAAAATTGATTAGATTTTTAGGTGAAACTGATTTTGGTAAAAAACAATTTAAAATCAAATTTTTTAATATAATTTTTTTATAAAAGATATAATATATTTTAATATTTTTATTTAATTATTTATATTAACTTTAAATAATAATTATTTTATTATATTTTTATTTTATTTTAATAATTATCTACCTTTCAGTTTTTAATATATTTTATATTTATAATTTTCATTATGATAACTATAAAAATAATTTTTTTTATAAAAAATATTTTTATTAATAAATTTATTATATATTTATTATATTATAAAAATATTATTTTATTAAATTTGGTTGAATTCCTATTAAACCTTAATTAGAACCTTTAAACCTAAAACCATATTTTTACTAATTAAATTTATTGATCTGATTTTGAAAATATTGGTTTAAACCATTATTAGAGTTGAACCTTAAAACAAATTTCTCTTAAGTTCTCTTTTATTTTTGTTATCATTCCTTAATCAAAGGTCTTATTGTAGCATTGGGAGGTGCTTATACATTCTTGGGCCCGTAGGTCTTGTGGTCCCACTGTTGGTCAGCAAGATAGGAGAAGGATAGAGAGAGTTAGGATACCAAAAGTCTTAAGAACTTTAAGCTATTTAGAATTAAGGAACAAAAATAATGGTAAGAATATCAAAATAAGAGGCTTCAATCTCTAATACTAAAAATAATAAAGAAAAATATTATAAATAATTAAAATAGAAAATTTATCACATAACTTCTCAATACCAATGTTAAAAAATTGTGAACTATAGAAAATAGTTTAAAAGTAAAAAAGAATAACCAAATCAATAATGTTTTAGAATAAGCAATTCTAAATCAATATATAACATCTATGAGTATTAATGATATTGAGAAATATTAGACTAAAAAAATTTAATAATTTTATAATCACAATATTAGAAAGTGATATACATATTATCCTCTTATTAATATACCAATTTTTCAATGAATATTAGAAATAAAAAAACCAATAAAACCATAAAACTGGATGTACAAATTTCATTATAGATGAACAATCAAGTCCAATACAATATAATTTATAGAATTTATTATAAAGTTACAAAAATATATTAGAATGATAAAGTTTTCATATCTTTATCAAAACGACGAAACCAGAGACAATTCTTACAAATCCCAAAATTATTAAGTCATGAATAGGTAATAAAATAATTTAAGAATGAACATTAAAATATATGTGATAGAAGAACAAACATCTATGAGAAATAATTTAAGACAACTTAGATATTAAGTTAAAAATTAATATAATTTAAAAATAATGACAAAATGAGTGTAAGAAATAAAAGTATTCTCCATATTCACTCAAAACATCTCAAATATTAAATATATTAATTAGATAATAACCCTTCAAAATATAAATGAAGATTAAATTAGAAAAGATTTTAAAGTTCAACAAGATAAAAAAATTAATATTTTTCAAAATTTAATAAAAAATAAACAAAAAAAAATTAGAGATAAATTTAATACCCATTTAAATCGAAATAAAATAAATTTATATTTCTTCTAATGATTTTCTGAGTATAGTAAAATAAACAATATAAAACATCCTTTTAATAAAACTAACTCCATGTGTATTTTAGAATAAATAACCAATATTTAGAAAATTATAAATATTTTATTATTATTATATAAGTTATTTTTAAAGATCATTTATAATAATAAATTCTTAAAAAAAACAAAACGGGGGTATATACAATATTAACACGTGTGTGTAAATGGTAAGAGCCATTAGTGGTTATGGATGCGTATATATACAATATAAGTAATGAGATTATATATATATTCACATGTTTGGTTTCACATTGAGTAATTTTCTAGTAGATTTTGACAAAAAAAATTCATACTAAAATTTTACTATTTAATTAAAATACAAATATTTAAATACAAAGTATTTCACTTTAAAATTAATCTTGATTAAAAATAACTTATTTTCAAAATAAATCCTATGTAATTTTGTTCGGGTTAGACAATATTGATGAAGTTTCAAAAGGGAGATTCCTGGATTTGGTAGGGGTAAAGTGTAGCATCTCTAGGTTTAGAGGGTAATTTATAGAATATATTAAAAAATTATTTAATTTATATTTTAATTTTATAAAGTAAAAAGATGGTATTTGTAGGTTATATAAGTGTATTGCTTTTTACCCATGAATAAAGAATATCAAAGTTTATCTTTTAATTTCTTTTTAGCTTTAATTGTAGTTTCTAATTATTTTGATGCGAAAATTCTTTTTGATGAGTGTATTTTTAATTTATTTTAAATTAATTAATGTAGCGTTTCAAAAATCTCAAAATTAGTAGTGTAAGATTAGATTTCACCAAAATGTCATTTTTTAGTTTAAATAGATTTTCATGAAGAGAGATTTTAGCCATTTTTTTTAAAGAAGAGGGATAAATTACTCTAAAAGAAATTTTAGAATAAGGTAAAATTAATTTTGATAAAACTGTTTTTCTAACTGTGTGTTAAAATTATTTTTTTATGATAAATTGTATATTTGAACATGTATTATGGGAAAAAGATTGATATGGATGACAAATAAATACACACGTAATAGAAAAAAAAAAAAACTAATCTTGGGATGCAAGCACACAAAATGCTTAATTCGAAAAAAAAAGAAAAAGAAAAATCAAAGTTGTGAAATGATTGAACATTAAATTTGCATATTCATCCTAGTTCATGATGCAAAATTTTGTTCTTTTTAAGATACATAGTCCTCTTCAATGAACTATATATGAATAAAATAGTTAAACAATATAGTAGGAATAAATCCACCCATTGATTTTGTATTGTGGTTTTTAGCATTGCATTTGAAGCATGAGAAATTAATCTTAATTTATATATACAATAAGGGAAAATGGGTGGAAGCAAATGTATGCATGCATGAATCACTTGACTAGTTCCTCCTTCTTGGCACCTTCTTCAAGTTCTCTCAACCCTTCAACCTTTTCTTCTATCTCCTCAATCAACTCTTCCCTCCACAGAGCTTCTCTGGCTTCTGCTTCCATAATCTCTTGCTGCATATATTTAAATACACCCATTAAATATTAATACCCAAAATTCCTATATTGCTGTCATCATAAGTACTACATATTTTATACAGAAAAAAGTTTGATAGTCATTAAAATGAGATTACCTTTTCATAGATCCAGTTGCCAGTGCCATCTCCTCCATCTCCCCTATATGCTTCTGAGTCGTAATATGGATCCTAAATCATATCAAACAAACAAAAATAAAATAAAACAAAATAAACTATCCACACAATTGCCAAACATGGAATGAATGAGAAGTCCCTTAATTATTATTACCTTCATTGAACCAAAGAATAAGCCTCCCCAAATGGTAAACATTATGTACCAAGCGTCTACAACAGAAAAAAGATACCAGTAAGAAATCAAACTGAAATTCCTGGGTGAAAAAAGAAAGACAAATTGAAAGAGAAGAGTTTGGAGTTTGAGACTTACAAACATTCTTTATTGCCTTATCACTGAGATGGGAAACTGTTTTAATAGTGATCATATCTCTCTGCCCTTCCATGTGTTCAACTATAACTGCCATAAGTGGCCAATCTGGTAACCCATTCACTTTACACAAAGATCCCCTTTTGCTCTTTCCCTCTAACACCTTGTTTACAAATACATAACATGCAACATGCTATTAGATTATGCTGTGTTTGGTTATATGTAAGAAGTGTTCTAAACTCTATAAACTCTGTTTCATGACATTTCGGATTACCTTTAGAAGTATGTTTACAGTTTTAAGTTTTGTTTGAAAACTCAGTATTATGAATGTAAGATTGAGCTATTTTCTTTAAGATTAATGAGAAAGTTAGATTATATCTATAATCGATTATATGTACAATATTGATTATTGTTATAATAGATTATAATCCAAATTAACTTTTGTTTGAACAAATTAGTTAAAAACTGATTTTAAAATAATCATTGCCCAAATTTTACATGGACAAACAGCTCAAAATTCATAAAAACATTCATAACATCAATTTAAATATGAACTACTTACATGACATGGTCTGTTGAAAAGGATAGAGTTTGAGTACTGCTTTGGCTGCAAAAGAAAGAAACACCTTCATTTTTTTGTTAATCTTTGAATTTAGCATGTGATGCAAATGGATATTGAAGGACCATTTTACCAATCTTGTAGAGTGGTTTACTTGAAACCTCCTTGTTTGTAGACATGAGCCAAGACTATGTGATTTGAAGAGGGTGAAACCCATAACAGCTTCAGCCATGGCTTTGAACAAAAAGTGCACTAGTGCTGAAAAGTGGTTGCTATGCTGGTCCTTTCATATTGGGATAGAGTGGATAAGGGAACATAGAAGAACCACCCTTGAACTTCAAGCACATGACTCCAAAATATTGGACTTGGGTGGAATGCTAAGACACAATCATCAAAATGACCCTAGTGTCCTCATTCATAAACATCCTTTTCAAATGTTATCTGCTTTACGTGCCAAAAATTAACCTTGGAGTAATCCATGTTCCATGTTTGAAACATTATCTTCACAAATTCGTTAACCTAAATCTCACGTTTACTTTTACTTGCTTAGTTTTCAAAAGAATGTCTTCACTACTTTGGATTACACGTTAATTTAACATTTCGTTAACTACTTTTGACACTATTCATTTTGAATTTTAATATTTTAAGAAATATATATAGCCCATAACTTTGACCATTGCTTTTCAGTTTAATCAAAATATAAAAAAATAATTAAATCTAGTTTGATTAAGTCTAAATCAAACTAAATGTGTATTTTATAATACTTTTATCATAAAATTATTATATATATATATATATATTAAAATAGTTGTTAAATGATAATTGAACTAAATATTCATTTAAAAGTTCATTATAATAATTTTTTATATATTATTATCTATAATCTATAATAATATAAAAGAGAATTTTTTTATAATCGGTGTTATTGAAGAAAAAAAGAAATTTATATCTATAATATGTCTTTTTTCCTCTATAAATTTCAATAATACATTTTTTTTTCAATTTTTTATCTTGGATATAAAATAATAAATAAAAATAATAAAAAATATTATTTATTTCTTATTCTATTAATTATGTTTTTTTTTAATTTCTCTCATGTCTATTTGTCTTCACTAATTCATAGTTTTAAAAATAAATATTTATATTTTAAAATGAACATATACATTAAATTTTAATAAATTAAAATATAAAAATAGAATACAAATGAATAATATAAAATTATTGAATGGTTGTATAGAAAGATAGATCTATATATATCACTCTACATGTCTCTCTACTGATTTGTACACCATGCATATTTAGATAATTATATATTGACATCAGTTTTTGACAAAAATATCTAATAGATAATTCAATATAATAATAATAATATAATAAATATTATTGTAATATTATTATATCAAGTTGTTTATTTAGTGTTTTATCTCAAAGAATCTTATCGAGAGTTATAAAATAAATGTTTTAAAACTTGTGATATTTTAATAATTATATTGATAATATTTTAAATATTTTATTAAGCAAATATTTTATTTTATTATTATTTTAAAATTAAATTAATATGTTAAATAAATTATTTATCAGTATAATTGTACATATTTTAATAGTTTGTATTAATCAATCAAATTATTTTCGAATGATTTGTAATTGATTAATATTAATCAACTAATTTATTTCTGAATGTGGCTGATTGGTACAACTCCTAATTATTATTGTTTTGTTAATAATTATATTATATAAGATTGTATGTAAATATTGATGATTTAATCTATAAGTATTAACTCAATTAATACTTTTTTAAGGTACAAAGGAACATGAAATGAATTTTTATCATCAGTGTACACTTTTCTTATAGGAAGAAGGTGAATCAACATATGTTTTTTCACTATTTTTGGATCAAAATTTTCGATTTTATTGAAGAGGGTAGAAAATTTTAAATTTTTTTAAAATAGGTTAAATCGTATTAGGTGAGACGATTTTGGAATGATGAAATCGTGTTTGGAAGTACACTTCATTGTTATTATTATTTTTTTAAAACGTATTTGGTAACATGAGTTTCTCACAATTTTAAAAATTTAGGATTTTTTTATTTTTTTTTTAAATATATACTGTCTCACAATATGATATTAACACTGGAGGCAGGACTTGACATGGATGACCAATTATGAAAAGATAGAGCCTGAACAGAATGTGAGGTTGAAGAGGAAACTACAGAGAATCTGTTGAGCTTCCATTGAAGTGCAAACTCGTTTCGGTTGGTACCAAGGCATAATAACCTCTTCTTTAATTAATATTAGTGATTTTGTTAGCTCGCGTAATAGGTGGGGGCATAGTTATTATCACATTGTTTGGATTAGCATGATCACCATGTAGAAACTAATGTTATTGTTGCACCAGAAGAAATGATGGTGATGATGGGTTCACATTGTTGTTAGCTCTCACCTAAGACTCAATAACAGTTCTTTTGATCACTCTTTATGTTTGAACTTTCACTTTGCTCTCAAAATCGTCTGACATGATTTAACCTATTTTGAGAAAATTTAAAATTTTCTATCCCTTTAATAAAATAATTTTTTTTTACTCATAATGGTGAAAAAGCCATGAACAGAAAAAGTGAAGGACACACATGATAAATAGATGGAAACTTGATAAAATTTATTGAATTTTAAAAAATCTATAGATTATTAATAAATACCTTATTTAACACAAATATAATTAATATATATTAAATATTTATTAATGTCAAGAAACCCATTATAATTAATTGGCCTTGTTAATTCATGGAAAAAACAACAATCTTTAATCTTAACTTTTAATCCTTAAAAAAAATAATCCAAATATATCGTGTTTTTTTATATGTAACTATATCATATCAAAAGTTTTAAAAAAATAATTAAACTAAAATTTGAATAATTAATAGTGACAGATTAAGACATTAAAATTACGAAAAGAAATTAGAGACAAAAATAATGACATTTATAGAATATAGGAACAAAAAATTAATTAAAATAATTATGTTTTATGTAGAATGAGATATTATAATACATTTACACAGTTTAGGTACAGTAAGGAAAAAGTGTTTGTTAAATGATTATTGAAGTTGTGATGCAAAATAAGTTGTTGGTCACAAGGAGTTACGTGTGCGACCATGTCAGCAGGGGCATCTTCTAGTCGCATGCCGTAGAAAGAAAAACAGCGTCCTCATCCCAAACCCAAACCCAAGGGCTGAACCAACCAACCAACCAATACAACGTTCTCCCAAATCCAAGAATCCATATCTCTCACGCCATTGACCCCCCAAACACATCATAAGGAAGAGTCAATTATCCAATTCTCACAACTCATTTTCATCAAAAAATCAGAACAAATATGAGTTTGTTAGATCTGGAGAAGCACTTCGCCTTCTATGGCGCCTACCACAGCAACCCGACCAACGTGGCCATCCACATCCTCTTCGTCTGGCCCATCCTCTTCACCGCCCAAATGATCCTCTACTTCACCCCCACCCTTCTCTCCCTAGGGTTCCTTCCCCCAGTCCTGGTTCTCAATTGGGGCTTCTTCGCTACCCTCTTCTACGCCCTCTTCTACATCGCGTTGGATATAAAAGCTGGTTCTTTCACTGCTTTTCTCGCTTTCTTCTGCTGGGTCGCTTCCAGTTTTGTCGCCAACACCCTCGGCTTTTCACTAGCCTGGAAGGTACTAAATACTAATTCACCAATACCCTTATATAATAAAATGTCTTCTGATTTGGACCTCGCTTTATATGTTATGTATTTGGGTCACTCTTTTCAACTGGTTTGCTTATGTGTGTGTTTTGGGCGAGTTTATTTCTCTGCCCCGTACGGATTTTGGTTGTTAAATTAAATGCTGTTTCAGCTCCATGGAGCCCGGATAATTGCTATTTATATTCGTTCTAGAGACAAGTAAAGTGAAAAGGACTAGTTTTTTGCAGTATGGTAAGACTTATGTTTGATTTTCTGCCGGAAGAGATGTACATGTTTAATGTTTAACCATTTAATGTTTGACTGAGTCTGGAAAATAAGATGATTGTGGAAAACAAAAAAAACATGGTGGGCCGTTGGCAAATTGTTTTTTTATGTGTTTAGCTGTTTACTGTGTCAGATGTGTTTGAATAGATGTTTTACTCTGCTGAACATAAATGGCTCCAATTTTATGGATTCACGTATTCATGTTGGATGTGGTTTGGATAGTGAGAAGGAAGAATTACACTGAAAACAGATACACACTTGAATTTTGTCGTTTTTTCAGATAAATATTAGTTTTTGTTAATGGAGAGACTTGAATGTTTTGTTTTGGTTATGCTTACTTTTGTATGTTGCCGACTCTTATAACTTGGAAGTTGCGAGTGAGGTAATTGTGTTTTCTGGAGCTAACAATATTCATATATTAGAGTGAAAAGGCTCGGTTTTGGTTGATTTTTTGTTCAGTTCAATGTTTCTTTTTCATTTTCTCATCAGCTCATCCTAATGCTATGGGAAAAGAAAAAAGTTGTCTTTATGTAATAGAATAGGTAGAACATGATTTGAATTGCTAGTTTGCTACCAACGATAATGTTATCTTTGGTCATTTGGGCGACCTAATATCTGTTCAAAGAGTAGAACTAACTTTTTGTTTGGTTTTCAATTGGGTCAGCATGGAAATTGATTATTGTCTTACTCTTACCTTGAAACTCAGTTTGAAAGGAAAGCAAAAGAAGAGTTGTTTTTGCCACCTCAGTTTGTAAAATAAAGTTCATTCAAACTTGAGTTTGTAAACTTTAATCTAACCATGCTGTAAACTCAGTTTGTTCTTCATGTGCGTGCTTCTGCTTTTTCGTTTGAGACAAGAAAAGCATGCAGTATTATACCTTTTCAAAACTTATGGCAATCTTCAGGTGGTTTTGGCTGCTCAGTTGTTTTGTTGGACTGGACAATTCATTGGTCATGGTGTGTTTGAGGTAAGAGATTTATTCCATTACTAGTATCCATGATGCAGATGTTTTACGTTCCAATTGTGTTTTAACCATTGTTTTTGTCTCTCTGTTAGAAACGTGCACCAGCTCTGTTGGACAACCTTGCCCAAGCATTTCTGATGGCTCCTTTCTTCGTGGTGCTTGAGGTAATTGTTTGTTATGTGTGTATTTGTACTTGAGTCTCTTTTACAAGTAAAACAAGGTGGATTTCATGTTCTTGGCTTTCGCAGGTCTTTCAATCTAGTTTTGGATATGAGCCATATCCAGGATTCAAAGCCAGGGTGAAGGCAAGGATAGATTCTGATATCAAACAATGGAAAGATAAGAAACATTCTTAGATTGAATTTATTTACAAAGGTGGAGTAATAGATCATTCCAAAAGAAACAAAATGAAATTGATTATATTATACATACACAGCCAGAACTACTTGGTTACAATCAAAAGTCTTGTGTCAATTATCTCACTGATGTGTTGTAAGAAATGTTGCTCGGAGTTCGTGAACCGTTCTTGTCTTGTGAATACATTCTTCATTGATTGTTCCAACGTTATTGGCCAATAATATTATCATCTCCTTAATCTTGAATTTACCCAAAAAAAAAAAATTACATTACTCATAGCATCATCTACTGTCAATTTGCTTAGATGGTGTGATCTCAATATCAATTTCAACAAGATAGTCTAGAATTTTTGGACTAAGAGAGTAATGATGATTCTAAATTAAATATAATTTCTTGCAACTCACATTATCAGTATATGAAGACAATTTCAGGAGGAGCTAAATGATTAAAGGCCACTGAATTTTGGAACATGTGATGGATTTGAATCTTTCCTTAAACATTTTCTGACAGAATAAATCGTGCAACTCATTCACGAAATTTGATGTTCATTTAGCAGATGTTTGTTTCCGTTTAATCTTAGAATTCTTGTACCGAGAGTCGTCGGAACCGAAGTTCAATGCCCAAAACAAGGATTAGAAAAAGGTAATCGCTTCTTGCACTTCTTATATTCCTGCACCTCTTAATATAGATTTTGAAATAAATAACATAGAAAAGTATTTCAAGATAGGCTATTTGTAAACTGTTTAAATACTCGGGAACCATTTTTAAAGTATTTTAATATAATTTTTTTAAGTATCGGATTAAATAATCCTGAACCATTGATTAATGAATGAGACATTAATAATCCAGATTATATGTTTTTTTTTTAAAGTAACTAACAACTGCAACAACCTTGACTAAAGATCAGCATGTCAGAAAAATAGTTATTCACATGCCTTGGAATATCTTCATCATGGAGTAATGATCACACATGTCATAGAAAAATAGCTCATATAATTTTACAAAATTAATTAGCCGAAAATTAATCAAGACAATATATATTAATAAGTTTTATGTTTTTTTTTGCTTCTATCTAAAATGATAAAAAAGAATCTAAAAACTGCAATTAAATTATAACTGCTTTAAAAAACTAAAAAGCAAAACAAACTACCAGACTTGTTGAGATGGTAGCAAGGTGTGTGAGTGTCTTCTTGTTGTCACTGGGTGCAGGATATACCAATTCACAATTTAGAATATGATCATATGAAAGTTGAAAAGTTAAATAATTGTTTGTAGGAGTAGAGAACAAAAGAATGTGAGAGAGAAAGAGAAAACAAATGGATATATGTAACTTTGTCCTTAATGCATTGGCACGCTCCTCTTCGTTTTTCTCCACTCTTCTAGTCTGCATTCATTGAGAATATGCCTTGGCAACACAACAGAGATAAATTCCTCCCCAACACTTTTCACCTCCCAAATAGCTAATCAAGTCTTTTCACCTCCTAAAGCTCAACCAATTCTTTCTTAAACCTTCAAACAAATAATTTAGAAAACTTGACTCAACTGCAGGTAAGTAGCACTCCTACCAGCCTCAATTCCTAAGATCTAAATAAACAATCATCGTTTTCTTGTTCACGGCTCCTATACATTTTCAGACTTGCAAAAGAGTAGGTAGTGTTTTCCAAGAAAGCAATTGAATACCTAAACATAACACATTTTACTTCAACATTTCCTAAACCAACTTGTGTTCACTATCATACCTTATCCCCCTTTTTCCCAACCTATTCACCTTATCCATCAATGATAACTACTTTCTACAACTGTCAGAACTACTAATTATTCCTCACTTCACCCTTCTAACAAGCACAATTCCAACTTCCTACTATACAACACATAAGAGCAAAAAAAAATCATTGTCATCCATGTCTAAATCATAATGCTAATATGCTGATCACTTTCTCCTCCTCAAAACCTTCACTTGTAAATATCATTCCATTTTTTTTTCGTACACACTAAACCGTTGCACTCCAAACCACAGCACATTTTTTGTTCTCTTCCTAAACTTCATCCAAAGTCATGTTGTGAAAAACAAGGAAAGCAAATCTTCCTGTCTATCCAAGAATAAGACATCTTCCAAATATGTTAATAGTATTAGAATAAAGGAGAGTTGTGTTCAAGAAGACGTAAATTAAATTATTTTGTATTTTTAAAAAATGTTTAGAATAAATCTTTATTTAATCAATTAATAATAGAATTTAATAATCTGTTAAATTTTTTTTTACTAAGAACAAGTAAATATTGCAAAATTTAGAATAAAATGAGAGAAAAAAAAATCCATACAAAGTTTATATTGATTCACTCTTAAACAAGAGTTATATTAAGTTTTGTATTATATCAACTAAGATTTCACTAAATAACGAGAATTTTACAAATTAGTTGAAATACCAATTTATTTAAGAAGTTTCGTCTTGAACACTACAAGAAATGACTATAAAAATCAGTGACACTCTAGTACAACACAAATTTTGAAAATACTATCCAAAAAGAAAGATATAACACAAAATTCTAAAAGAAAAAAGAATGAACACATTCACCTAGAAAAACAATAAATACAATAGGATAAAAGAAAACTAGATAAAATTACGTGTTTCTCCCTCACTCAACAAATATATTGAAATTCATCTAAGAAAGCATCCAAGAATAGTTTTTCAACTCAATAGTAATACTCTCTCAATGTAAGAAATTATATATGAAATTATAATTTAAATCATGTGTTAAAATAATAAAAAATGAAAGAGTTATATAGAAACCAATTTGTCAATTTTAATTGATTAAAATTATAATTTAATATATTAATTTCACTTACTCATGATGTTAATCTATTAAAGCTGCATTTTAACATATTAAAACATAATGGTTTAAAACCTTTTGTATAGAGTACACTAGCTTTCCCTATCAGTTGTAGTTAGATAAGAAAGAATAAATTATGCTTTCAACATTTCAATATGTTAAAAACATGTTTTAATATATTAAAATAGAACCTCTAGAACAACTTATGGCTTTAAGCAATTTTAATTGATTAAAATAATTATTTAATCAATTAAAATGTAACATAAGAACATTTTAATTGATTAAAGGTATCTTTTAACAAATTGAAAAACTTTCTATTACCAAGATAACTTCAAAATCATTTTCTATTACTAAAATAACTTTCAAAAATAAATTTTGAGAGGCTTTATATCAGTAATACAAGATCAAACTACTCAAGAGAAACTTATATTAAACTTAAATCAACACGACACATACTCTCTAAGCAAATTTACTTCTTCAATCCTCAAGTAAAGTTAGATTCATCAAATACAATATAGTTCCATCAACAATTTCTATAAATCTTTATCAATCCCAACAAATAACATGTAAGTTATGGATTCCGCTACTTTTGAACAAATAGAGATTTTAAGTCACCATGTAAGATCACATTCCTTTTTTTGAAATTACTTTTATTTGTAAATTTATTTTTTATACACCTCCAAATAAAGAGAGTCACCTTAGGAGAGATATTTAGATTTCATATAAGGCACCATATAGGTTGCTCTTATGACTTTCGTTCCAATTCATGTAAGGCATAGTAAACATACGCTAGTCTTTTATCAATCTCCACTTATATATACCATCCTTACTCAAACGAATAATTAACAAATTAGTCATTAGTTTATTCATTAATTCCTCCTCCCAAGAAAACCAACTCCTCTATTGTGTTAGGTTTCATTCCCACCTATTTTGTATTTAGGACCCCATATTCTTCAAGACTTCATATTTCTGTTTTGAGTATAGAAAGAGCTTGGGGTAGATTAAAGACATATATTCTTTTTCATTCTCCTTATTAAACAAAAAATTAAAATTACTTTCATCGCCTATTTTTCTTCTTACCTTTTTCAAATCTAGAGTTGATCTCACTACACTTTCTTAATTTTTCTCACCTTAAAGAAACATTATTGTTCATGACATCTTCCTTTTAAAGATCTCTTCAACCACCATTTTTAGTTTCCAAAATTGAGCACCATAGTCAGCCTCTAAAATATAAAGTGTTTAAAAAATGTGACATCTTTCACCCTAACATCCTCCTTAGATCCTTGGACAACATATGTCCTTCCAAGTACCCTAGGCTATCCTTATTTCACCATCATTAGATCCTAATTTGAACACTATTGATCTTTGATGTACATTTTATAAATTTATTTTACATTGAAAGCACTTTCAATATGTTTTTTTTTTTTTCGTTTTTAAATCATTTATTCTTAATTCGAATAAATTGGGTTCAATATATTTAATTGCTTTAATTTCGTATTTTTGGATAATATGACGTTTTCTTACTCTTTTGGCCATAACTTTTTTTTATAGATATTTTGTTGGGTTTATTTTAGTTACGTGGTTTACTATATTTGGAGTCATTTTTCATTTTTTTATGATTTTTGAAAAATGAGGTAGATTTATTGTATTTTTGTTTAAGAATTCCAAAGAGTTCAACTTTTGTAATTGGACTTGTAGACCTGATATGAGATTACAATTAGGCCCATTTTTATAACACTAATTAGAAATTATATATAAAATCATTGAGCTCTAAACAAGAGGATCTGTGTTTAATTTTCAGTTTTCAATTTTAGTTTACAGTTTCAATCTCTCTTTATTTTTCTCTCGAATTGTCTTTATACTCTCTTCTCATTTGTGATCTTAATTCTTCATAAATGGAAAACTAAATCTTGAAAATCAATCCATGGAATCAAGATTATACAATATGAATTGAGTTTTGCATCAATCATTTAATACTTCAATTTTGCTTTTCTTCTCTAACTAAAATTTGTAGTTTAGGATATTAATTTGCATTTTTTATATTTTAACTTAAATTAGGAATAATTCAATCTTATTTTGATTATAAGTTACAAATTAGAGTGGATGATATTTTGATTTTATTCATATTTGTAGTTTAATAGGTTTATTTATGCGATTAATTAATTGAATAAGATAAATGTTTAAATTTGGATCCATATATTTAAATAACTATGTTACACGGAATTATATGAATTTTAAATATGGGGATTGATATTTCTTTTCTTGAATTCATTTTCTTGTTTGTGTTCTTGAATTTTGCGGTTTAATTATTGCATTTAATTTTCAATTATTGCTTTATAGTTTTAGTTCTTACATTTTAACTCTTACAATTTAAATTAAAATTCCTAAATTAATGTGCAAATAAATATAATTTATACGTGCCAGTGTGAATTGGCCTAGTTTATATTCTATACTACCAATTTTACAAAAAAAAAAACCTAAATACTTAATTTTTGAAATGATGACATTGAATATCAAATTGATGTAGTTGTCCTGAATACAGATGATCATTGTATCTAATTCTCAATTTTTCTTGATTATTATTTATTTTAATTTATCATTTGATAAGTTTTGCTCTTTTAATCTTCATATGCATTGAGTAAACAACTTTTTTTTCCTGGTGGTGCGAATATTTTTTTTTCCAAAACTTTAACTTTATTAGAATTATTGAAAACTTTGTTTGCACCTTAAAAAAGATAAGAATACGATGACCAACTATCTAAGAGACAAGGACTATGGTTTGGGGCTTAAATTCTCAAATTTGAACTTTTAAACAACTTTTTTTTTTAAGTTTTGAATATTTTTAAAAAATCACAAAAAATGGAAAATATATTTAGATGATTTATGGGCCTATTAGATATTTAAAAAAATTGATCAATTTTTTAATGTTTAAATCATTTTTGACAACTTTACTAGTCGTTGTTTGATATTTTTTTTATCACAGCAAGTTGGTAAAATTTCTCATGTTATAATTTATGTATCTAATGTAGTCCAAACTAATCATACATCTACTAAGAATGAGCTTTTATATACTATTTTTGTATTGAATTTTTTGTTTAAGAAGTTTGATGTTAATTCTAGGTTGATTAGATGAATGTTTATCCTTAAGAAGTTTGACATAAAGACCAGAGATAGAAGTAATGCTGAAAAATTGATCATTTAATTAGGATTGAGGGGACCATAGATCACTTACTTATTATAAATTATTTAGTTTTTTTTGTTGTTCCTCCTCACATCTAAGGTTTAGAAATATAGACGGAGTGATGTTAAATATTATGTTGGGATGGTACATATTTATGGAGATTCTATAGTGATCAAGTTATTTGTAGGTATATTCCTAACCATGATTTTTAGGTTATACTTTATTACTATAATGCTACACCTACTACAGGTCACTTTGGTCCTAAAAGGATAATGAGAATAGTATTAAATAATTAATTTTTACTAGCCCATCATTTTTAGAAATGCATATCATATGACCACCACTTATGAGATGTGGTAGAAGGTAGACTGAACTATCACTCGAAGGTTGAACATGCCACTAGAAACTCTATCTTTGGTGAGATTTTCAATTTGTGGTGCATGGTGTGCTAAAAACCATAATTAGTGACTAGGGTACCTTTGTTTCAGAAGTATGTGATGACTCACATAGTCTTTACACCATATCATTCCAAGACTAATGAGTAAGTTGATGTTTTCAATAAAGAGATGAAGCAAATTTTGCATAAATTACTTTACTCGAATAGGAAATATTAGACTAGGATGTTAGATGATGTTTTATGGGCTCATAAGATAACTTACAGAGAGTCATTAGGCATGTCACTATTTCGAGTTGTGTTCAGAAAAACATCTCACTTTCTAATAGATATTGAACACTGTGTATATTGGATAGTGAAGAGTTGTAAATTGACACTTGACCAAACTGGTAGAGAAAGAAAGCATGTGTTATAAGAGCTTAATGAGATTTGCTCAAAAGCCCATGAGAACTCAATGATCTCGTTTGAAATATATTGTTGGTAAGATGTGTTCTAGATGGGATGAACCTTTTGTTATTACTATTGTTTAGTTAAGAATAAAGATGAAGCTATTGATAAAATTTTTATGGTTAATGTCACCAAATAAAGTAGTTCCATGAGAGCATGCCTAGTGAGGAGGCCCGATATTTAATGGACATATATTTGATGGAGCATATCTTAGTTGATAAAAGGTCTAATTGGTCATTTGAAGGATTTTTATTAAACTTGTTTTCTTTTATTCTTGCATTGTTTTGTTTCTTAGTTTAGGTTTTCCTTTTGATAGTGCAATTCCATATTGAACAGAATGTCTAATTCAAGTATGAAGTAATGTATTGTTAGTTTAGGTTTAGTAATGTATAACATTGTTTATTAAACTTGTTAATGAATTCTTTTTTTTTTTGTCTGAACAAAACGTGGCATTCTTGATTGTTTTACAGTAACACTTATTTGATAGGTGGTACTGGATTCTAGTTGAATACTTTTTGAAGATATTTATGGTGGTAACATGTTCATGGACAATAAATCTTTGTGATATTGGTTCTAGTTGAATCAAAATGCATAATGGTGTGGTTCAAACATTGACTATCATTTGATATGTCCTTGAGATAAAGGAGAACCTTATATCCATTGGAGCCAAGGATAATAATGGTTATGTGTGCTATGTTGAAGATGAAGTAATGTGAATTATGGGAAGGAGTGATGTAATGGTGATGTAGGGATTTAAGGACAGAGATGTGTATATCTTACAATGGTCGTCTATAGTTGGGAGACAATAACAATAATCCAAAGTGAGAACTCATCTTATGCTCTATGGTACATCCTTTTGGGCCGCATAGTTTTTGAGGTTTGGACATCTTGTCCAAACTAGGGTAATTAGGTAACTAGAAGGTGAAAGCTCTCTTGTTTTATGACCGATGCATGTTTGGGAAGCAATACATGTAGAGTTTTTTAAAGGTAGTACATACATTGAAGGTCATGTTGGACTATATCCACATTGATTAGTGGGGTCCTTCAAGAATTCCATCATTGGGGGCAGGGGGTGCAAGGTTTTTTTCCATTGAAGGTTACTTAAGAATGACATGAGTTTTCACAATGAAGAAGAAATCATTTGCTTTCATAAATTTTAAGTAGTGCATGACACTCATGCTTAACCAAACTAGTAAGAAGGTTAAGTGTTTCAGAATGTATGAGTTTGAATTATATGTTATACTATGTTTGACAACTTTTGTAAAGAGGAAAACATAGTGAACATAACTAAATGAAGTAGGTGATAGGATGAACCTTGTTATAGAGAGCAAGATGTATCTTATCGCAATCTAGGTTGATCAAACAATATTGGGATGACATTAACACCACATGCTTCTCAGTGAATCATTTTCCTTTCACATTCAATTATTTTAACTCTTTAATTGAGGTGTGGTCTAAAAGACCAATTGCCTACTTAATGCTAAAGGCGTTTAGGTGTCTAACTTATTATCATGTTGATAAGAGTAAGTTGGAACCTTGATAAAGAAAAAAGGGTCTTTGTGGGTATGAAAGTGAAACAAAGGGTATGATCTCAACAACATAGAATTAGTTAGAGAAATATGCATTTGATGGTATATTGTCTTATGCCTTGATGATGGTGAAAGAGGTGAAGTCATCTTAGTCATTTACTTTTCACGAGGTTATTAATTGTGTAGAAGCTGACAAGTAGGTAACTATTATGCATGAAGAGGTGAAATTTGTGCACAAGAAGCAAATGAGAGAATTGGGTAATCCACCTAAAGACAATAAAGTTATTGGTTACAATTAGATCTTTAAGAATAATATCTTTTATAAATATGTTAGTGGTAGACTATCTATTTGAGTGTCTACATCTAGATCATCTGATGGTTCTAATAAGGTTAAGGTTCATCTAGTAGTCAAGGGTTGTAAGTAGATGGAGAATCCAATTCACATGTTCATGTAAAGCTAGTTCTTGAAATAAATTCATGCATTGTAAGAATTTGTTGAATGTTGATTGTTAGAAGTAGTCCTATTACAAAGAGTTATAGTATAAGGTGGAGATTTGTAAGATATGACCTTAACTCTTTGTTTGATCAAACCTAGTAAAGGTTTAAACTCATCTAATAAGATTAACTAGTTTGATGAGTGCAACTCATGAGATGAGAGTAGCTAGTTTAATGAGTCCAACTCGTCTAGTGGGTATAACTCAACTTATATATGCGACTTGTATGATAAGTATAACTCGATCGATGGGTGGTGTAACTCGTATAATGGGTACAAGTAAGCTATGTTGATTAATCAAATGTTTACAAATAATATTGTACTTTTTTGTTACATAGTTAACTTCTAATTGTTTTAGTTTCTAGTCAGATAAATATTTTGTGACATCCATATAAAAATATGACTTTGAGATAAGAACTTGTAAAAGAGTTAAATGAGTTGGTCATAAGTGGTGATGTAACAATTATAATTGTGCTACAATTGTGTGTTTAATTATATTTGGTAAATTTGTAATTTTATCATTTTTATAATTGTGTTTTGTATGATATGAATTATTTTTTCATTTTTATATTATCATTTATACAATTTTTCCCTTGTTGAATATTACAAAAATAGTAAAATTCTTGTGAAATAAGAGTAAAAATACCCAACTATTATTATATTTTATAAAGACACAAAGTAACAAGCAATGATATTATCTTATTACTTGCACATCTCTTCACCTACCTTTTTAATTATTTTTATTTCCACCTCCGATTTAATGATTATTTTAAATCTTAATTGTAATTTTCTTTAAATTTCTCATTATTTTTGTGTACTTTGGAAATATTGGATTTAAGATTTTGCATGTAAACTTTGTATGTTTTCTACAATTGTTTCTTGAACTCATATGTCTGTTTCTTTGAATTTTTGTTCAAATATCATGGAATTGTTTGAACATTAAACAAATGTATCCAGTTAATCAGTATATTTATGATTGTGAATATATGACAAATATAAATTTAATATAATGTCCTCGTACCCATATTTTTACGCTATTTTACAGCTTTGGAGTAACATAAAAACTTATTTTAAACATATTATAAATTTGACTGACCATTAAAATTGAAAATTAAATAAATGTTAACTATTAAAAAGAAAATCCAATTTAATTAATTTGTAAGTAAGTAAAATTCATTAATTTAAATTATATTACTAATTGACCCAAAACATAACGTCGATCCCACATGAATTTTTGGCAGACACGCACGTACATATTACTGGTTTATTTAATAAACTAATTGCAATGCCATTTCTTTGCCCTGAAAATTTAAACTCTTCACTGTTTTTTTATCATTTCTGGTGAAAAACAAGTACATAACATTCCAACTAATCTTATCTCGATACCATTTCTAGAATGTATATCTTAACCTGTGGTGTTAGTTTTCACGAAAGAGAAATTATTTATCCATGTCAAATACCTCCATTTGAGCAACAAGTGTGTAGCATATTAAACATCAAATAAAGCCCAAAAAACACATGAAGTCAAAGATAGAGAGCAGAGCAAATAAATAAATAAATAAATCATATTGATCACTATAATTTGGACATAAACAAGATCCCAGTTTTTTTTTTTTTTTTTCGTATTCATTGTTTCACGTTCCCATCGTAACCTCCCAAAGTTAGGCAACCCAAGTATCAAATAAAATGGTCAACTGAGTGGAAAATACTCATTTTAAAATAAATGTGCTTACAAAATAAAATAAAATAATATATATTTACAATCTTACTTAAATTTTAATAAATACTTTCAGATAATTTATTTAAAAAAATCCTTTTAAATATGAAGGTTCATGTTTTAAATAATAATAATAATAATAATAATAATAATAATAATTAACTCGTTTTGAGTTCTAATAATAGTTTAACTGAGAGAAAATAAAAATAATTAATGTTATTGTCAAAAAGTGAAATAATACATTTGAATTCCTTGTGTCTTCATATTTCTTTATGTAATATGGGAAAAAAATGGAAGGTTCCCTTACAAAAAATATGATATTTAAATTAGAATAAGAAGATAAAAAATATAATAAAAGAGAAATATATTAAAAAATTATATATAAAAAATAAAATAATAATATTTATAAATTTATATTAGATTATTTTAAATAATAAATAATATTACTTTATTTATTTATGTCTTTTCATTGTTTTTTAATTAAGTATTTTCAAATTTAATATTATTCTCAACTATTTTAAGATATAATTATTTTATTTTATTTTTTATTCATAATAACTTAGATTATCAAGAATTACTTAAAAATAAAATTAAATTTTTTATTATAAATCTAATTTCTTAAAACTTGATTAAAATTATTTATATAAATAGTTTTTTTTTTTAATTTTAAACAACTTCTTCCAATTTTTAAACAATTTAAATATAAAACAAGAATAAGCAACTCTCCAATCAATTATTTTGGAGAGACTCATAACACTGCTTTTCCTACCAATTGCAGTGTTCCACTTAAACGTCTGATCAATTCAATGATGTCGGAACAGGTGGAACAAGAGCCAATACTAATTACACTAATTAAATTGCAGAACATGATTGCCATTGGCTGAACCTGATGTGTCATTATTAACTTTAAACAAAATAGTCAAACAAGGAATTTGCATGCTCTAATTCAATCAAATCCAATAAGGAATTTGCCTGGGTAGTAGTATGCGTCTGGTGATGGTGGAGTGGCCTAATTGCATTGTGTGCCTTTATCTATTCTATCTATATACATAATGTAAAATAAAGTAAGATTCAAAAATTTTAAAAAGATAAGTGGCAGAATTTTAAATAATAAAATAAATAAACTTAAGAAATTTTTTTACTTAATATTAAGATAATTGTCTATCTAGATGTGAATATTCATTTTCAATGATTATAAAAGGTGGAAGAGATGGAATTGAAACTATAAAAAAAATAGAGATAAGGACTGGAAAAATGGATCAGCCTCTTGGATAAATCAATGAAATAAAGAAATAAAGAAAAAAAAGAGGAAAAGAAGAGAAATATGGTGGTGGTGAAGTGTTGGTAAGCCACTAGGGGATAAGCTATCCTAGATAAGTGGTGGTTGTCGCCACTTGAACTAAGACTCAAGATAAAATACTCAAAGAAATGAAATATTTTAAGAAACCTTACAAACTTTTCATAAATATTCAATCTAATTACATGAGGGGAAGTCTTTTATTTATAGGTTTTTGGGGGAGAGACCTAGATGAAATTACAAAATAAGACATAAACTTAACTTAAACCTAAATACTAGAATCCCCATGGTCCAAATATGTTAAATTCATCCTAGCCCACCAAAGATGTGGAGAACATAAAAAAGTAGGTGTGATTTCTTTTAGGTTGTCTCAAGCTTACCAATCTGACATCTCAAGCTTCTTCCTCTCCAAAAAGGGGTGTAGGACATGAAAAAGGAGTGTCCTACACCTTTGGGCTTTCCATGCATATATCTTATCCAAAACTTCTTTTCCACCAAAAAGAAGTGCAAAAAGTGAGCTTATAAAATGAAAGCGAAAATAAGTGAAAAACTTAAGAAAAAAAAATACTAAGTAAATTCAAAATGGAAGGGGAAGAGTAGGTCTCCTTTCTAATCATGATTTTAGTAATCCTCCTAGAAATAATATCTCCCACCTCGGGAGCAACTAGGGATTCATAACAAAAAAAAAAAAAAAAAAATATATATATATATATATATATATATATATATATATATATATATATAAAGATCTTAATCATTACATTAAGAAAATGACTAAAAAATTAAAATGTTTTTTTACTTTGTTAAAATTTGTAATATTTAAAAGAAGTCGCTTAAGATTGCCGTTAACATTTGCTAAAAACATATATGCAACAATGGAAGCTAAACTTAGCGGTTATGCCACCTTTTTTTTTTTGCCATTAAAAAGACAAGGTATAAATTTTAATATGATTGTCTGTCCTAAGCCATCATTTTTCATATCTATATTATATTTAAAGGTATTTTTTTTATGTCATCACAAAAATATTATAAATTTGAGAAATAGTAGAAATATAAAAAAGAAAAACAGGTATAATAAGTAAAGAAAAGGACTAAAGAATGAAGAAAGAATATTGAAAAATAAAATATAAAATAAAATTTTAAAAAGTATTTTAAAAGAATGTTGACATTTAACACCAAAATCTCTTGATTTTTAAATAGTGTATTTAAAAAAATTTATATAATTTTTTTAAAAATACCTATTTTTAATTTTTTTATTAAGCAATATTTTTTTATTAAATAAATTAACAAATTAGTATATATATATATATATATATATATATATATTAAATACTAAAATATAAATAATAGATTAATTTTAATATGTTAGTATTTATTATTTAAATTATAATACTATAATATAATTCTAATAATATAACATAAAATATAACATTTTAAATTTTAATCATTTTTTTATTTTTATTTTAATTTTAATATTAATATGTAAATATCTTTTAAAAAATGAGTTAGTTGTACAATGTATTTTGTTTTATTTTTTTACTTGTCAAGTTAACAACGGACTAAACATAAGAAATTAAAACATATTAATAAGTTAAAACTATCCATTGATGAATTTGAAATGGTTTGAACTTTTTTTGTTATGTCATTCTAATTAAATCCCAAAAAATATAGGGTTAAGTAATTAGCCATATAAATGAAACTCGTATATGTGATATGTGTCACCCATTTGCTTTCATCCAAATTTTATTCATGGTCTCCCATTAATGGTAGCAACCTTATATTTGAATTTGTAATAACAACAAGAACGCATGTTCAAAATAAGAAGAGAAAATCATTTAATTAGTTAGTCATTAGCTTATAGTGAGAAAGATTGATTAGATGCAGCTTAAGCAGTTTTGTTTGTAAGAACATCCATTTGGTTTTCCTTAGTGAGCCACTTGTAAAAGTGAAAAAAAATCTCCTCATCCTTTTGTGATTCTTTTAATTACAAACTGTGTAGTATTAATGATTGTGATCAACTTGTTCCTAATTTTTGATGTCTCTATATTAAAAGTATGGATGTTAATTAATGATAAACTAGTTCATAGCTAGTTTCTTGATGTTGAATGCTCTTATGGTAATAAAAGTATTCAGGTAATAGGTATCTATGTATCGACTTCCTATATTTAGAGGTGTCTCCTCTAGTATATTATAACCCCTCAAATTATTGCACTTGGTGATTGGATAGTCCTTGGGACTTTAATGTTGTTCCGGTTATGCATGAGAATGTTGGAGGCAATCTTCCTAAGCAAAACTTGTGCAAATAATTTATACACATATTTATAGTTTTATTATACAATGAAATTTTCATATCTATTATTTTTAGTTTTAAACTCATTTTTATTTAATAATAATAAATTGAGTTCATATATTACTTTAATTTTATATTTTCAACTTATCTAACAATTGATTACTATTTTGACCATAGTTTTTTTAAATATTATTTTTACCTTATTCGAGTTATATTGAATTCTACATTTTTATGACTTTCAAAGATGTTTATAGTTTACTATATTTAGAGTTCTCTACTATTTTATACGAATTTTAGAATTCAACGTAAATTTGTTGAAATTTTGTAAATAACCTATGTGGATTAGATTTTCTTTATATTAGGTTAACTTTTGTAATTGAATTTACATACCTAATTAGAGCCCACATTTAGTCATATGTTTACTTCATACTTGAGAGCATATAAATAACTTAAATGTGTTAAACTAAGATAAAAAATTATTTTATTAGATTTTTTAGTTTAGGAAATGTTTCTACATCTTTTCTTTTCTCTCTTCTTTCTCATTTTCATTTTAACTCTTCTTATTCTTTTCTTTTATTCTGATTTGAATTGGTTTGTGTTATGCATTCATAGAAAACTAAATCTTGAGGATTAGTTCAAATAATCAAGATCAAACAAGTCGAATTTAGTTTTGCACCAATTATTTCTCATTTTGGGTTTGTTCTTCGCTTCTCTAATTTCGATTTTACACTTTGTAATTATGAATTTAGAGATCAAAGTAGGAATTGATTTAATTTTGATTTGATAATTAAATACATATTAGATTGAATGATATAGAGATTTAATATGCATGACCTCTTTAGTTGATTAGTTTAATTGATTAATTGTTCAAACATGGATTGAAAATTTATAGATAATTATAATAAGAGGATTGTTTGTTATTGGAATTGTGGATTGGTCTATTTCTATATTTTTCATTTCGATTTTTGTTTTGTGATTTCTATTTTATTTTTTTAATTCTTGTTTTATATTTTTCAATCCTCAAATCTAACTTGTATGGAAAGAAAACTATAAATTAAATATATTTTAACATGTGTCCTTGAAAAGAATGACCTAAGTTTGTACTCTATATTATAATATCTTTAGAGTAAACTTAAAATCTTTAATTTTATGAATGACGATGAAAATCAATTGACTTATAAAATTATGTTGAGTTTACTCAACTTGTGGGTATCCTGGCTATAGGTAACCTTTTCAGTTGGACCAATGGTAGGTTTGGTGCTCAACATATTGATATAAATCTTGCTAATTTTTTGTAACTTTAATTATTTATCATATTGGCAAAGCATTAATCGTAATAATCTTGTTCGGTATCACTCTGATCACACTCGCCTTTAATTGTCCATTTAATTGACACTACTAACATCACTACATCTTTTAAATTCCATTATAAGTGCTCTAATCATGAGGGTTGTAAGCCTTTTATTGAAAATATGTGGAATAGTCGACATGTTAGACTTTATGCAAAAATATGTTCATAATCTTACTTGTGATTCAAAAAAAGGATTACCTTACCTCCTTGCTTGAGATCAATAATGTTGTTTTTTCTTTAAAGGGGGGTGCGCTAAGACTTGATGGTTATAATGACATTTTTACTGAACTTATTAGTATATTGATGGTAAAGATGTTTCTAATGTTGTACAATAGTTCTTTTCTAAAAATTAGATAACACCTGGGCTCAATTATAATATTATTTCGCTTATTCCTAAAATTAAAGCTATGGATAGTTTGAAAGATTTTAGGCTTATAGCAATGGACAACTTCAATTACATAATTATTTCTAAGATATTTCTAATAGACTAATCATATTTCTCTTAACACTAATAGAAAAAAATATATTTTATGATAACTTATTATAATGATTCTAATCCACCTATCATAATAAGTAATCGCAATTTTATAATTAAAAATAACTTTTTATGATGGTTTAGTTTTAAACTAACATAGTAAGTAACTTTTTATGTCAGTTCAAAATTAAATTGTCATAATAAATATTTTCTATATCGGTTCAATTTTGAACTGTCATAATAAGTACTTGTTATGCCTATTCAATTTGAACTATCATAATAAGTTACTTTGTTAATCTTAAACACTTTCTATGTCAGTTCAAAATTGAATCATTATAATAAGTACTTACTATGACTGGTTCAAAATTAAATCGACATAGAAAGTACTTACTATGGTGGTTCAAAATTAAACCGTCATGAAAAGTGTTTAAATTTAAATTTTGCAAATTTATTTTGCACTCTTCGTTTTCCCTATTTTCTAGTTTTTTTTTTCTTGCACACTAGAGAGCTCCACCCAACTTTTTCTTCCTTTTGTCACATTGTCTCCTTATAACATTTATCAACTTTTGTCTTTCTTACACTTGCACCACCACTTCCATCGTTTTTCTTTTTCCTGACTTAAAACAAATGTAATATTTAGAATTATTGTCTCATTTTCTCTATTAATTTGTATTTCAATGTTTGATTTAATGGAATATTCTAATATATATATTAGATTGTGATTATTAGTCTAGATTTTTTGTTCTCTTGTAAATGATGGTTGATCTATGTAAATGACAATTATTTATATTTTATGTTTAATAGTTTCTTGTATGGATGATGTTGGTGTTTAATTTTCGGGATTTGTTATTGTATTGAACCTGATTGATAAAATGATGAGAACTATGATTATATATATAAAATAAAATTGACATAAAACTTTTTATGATGATTATGTTAAGAACTGATATAGTAAATATTATGTCAGTTGTACAACCGACATAAAAAGTCAAAAATAATCATCATAAAAAGTCATATTTGAATTATTGCAATATCATCTCACAACAACAAAATGTCTTTGTTAAAGGGAGTTCTATTGTAGATTGCATTTGTATGACCTCTGAAGCCAACTAACATGCTTCACGAGAAAGTGGTTGATGGTAATATGACCATTAATTAAATATTTCTAAGACCTTTGATACTCTTATTTGAGTTTTCCTTTTAACTATGCTCAAGTGCTTTGGTTTTAAAGATAAGTTTTGCTTGTGGATTCAAACTATCCATGAATAAAACAAGTTATCAATCCGAGTTAATGGCAAGTTCATTGGCTATTTCAGTTGCTCACGTCGTGTTTTGTAGGGAGATCCTCTTTCCCCTCTTTTTTTTTGTATTTTTCAAGATGCACTCAATAGCAGAATTCTAGTACTGATTGAACAGAATAAAATATAATAAACAGCTAGTTCTATAGGGATGTGCTTCCCTTCTCATGTTTTGTTTGCTAATGAAATTATTGTCTTTTGTAGAGTAAATAAAAAAAAAAGCCTTATCAACCTCTTAAAGTCATTGGATCAATATGGTGAGGCTTCTAGGTAACTTGTAAATGTATCTAAGAGTAAATTCTTTACGGGTCATAGAACCAGTACTGCATTCAATATGTGAATCAGTCATATTCTTAAATTTAATAAAGGTTTTGTACCCTTTTCCTATCTTGGAACAACTTTTTTTAGGGGCAAATCAAGAGTCAGACATCTTAAAGGCATTACCGATAAGATTAAAGGAAAGTTAGCCAACTGGAAAGGTAAGTTATTAAGTATGATGAGGAGAATGCAATTAGTGAATTTTGTTCTATGGGGAAAATTCATTCAGTGAATTTTATTATCTAAAAGAAGTTTATTATTGGTTGGACAACTTCATCTGGACTAGGGATACTTAGAAATTAAAAAAAGGGGTAGTTAAGTGGGAAATTGTGTCAACCTAAGGATGAGGGGGGTCTTGGCGTCCTCTCTATTCTGTAGATAAGGGTGGAGCAAAACATTTTAAATGAGGGGGTTCAACTCGAAAGTGAATACTCATCCATAAAAAACTAATATTGTTTAAACTTCATATACGCTCTATGGATTTCATCTTGTTGATTGATAGGATAATTTCAAATTTATGAAAGTTTTCCAAGATCACGTATGAAATTATCAATATCAATGTTTTCATGTTCAACTCTCATCATTTTGGAAGAAGGTTGTTGAACAAGTTGATTGATCATAGGTTGCTCAACAACATTTGTAACATTACTCATTGAATTTAAAATTTGAAAATTGGAGCTTATTTCATCATCTATCCCCTCTTCTGTCTTGAAAATTGAGTCCAAAGTTTTATTTTTAAGCATTTTTAAATCTCAACTTGATTTTATATATACATTTTAGCATCGAAATAGAATATCACAAAATATTAAAACAATTGACTAATATATAGCAAACAAAAAAATTATATTAATATTTCATATTTTTATACTACACTTGCTAAATAAAAAAATAATTTTTCTTATTGATTATTTACTTCTAGAAAGTTGTTACGGTATGTATTCTATTTTTTTTTAGCTATTAGTCTTTCTCAAACTTGAAAATGCCTCCAATGTGAACAAAAAAGAAAAAAGAAAAAACAAAAAATTATAAATTATAAATTATAAATTTTATGCTGTAAAGGTGAAATGTAAGAAAAAAATAAAGAAAAAATTTACAAATTTTATGTTGTAAGGTGAAACCATGAAGAAAAAAAGAATATGAAAGGAAATGAATAGTAATGAAAAAGGTAGAAATGTGAAAGAAAAAAAGTGTATGTATGATATAAAGAGTTGAAGTGGGGAATGTGAAAAGGTGGAAAAGAAAAAAAAAAGAGTAAAAGTATGAAAATAAAAGGAAGAGAAAAAAAAGGTGTAGAAAATTTTGAGAGAATAAAGATGATATTTATTATAAGTGAAAAAGTGGGAGAGAAAAGGATAAAAAAAAGTAAAAATAATTTTTATTTAATTTTTAAAAATTAATTACTATGTATGAAAAAAAATTTTTTTTTTTTGAGTGGGGATGTGGTCACCCCTACTCCCCGTAAATTTGTTCCTATCTTTAAGAAAATGGAGTTGCTTGGAAAGCTAAACATGGATGCATGACTTAGTTTAGTCAGGTTCGTATTAGATTCATCATGTAAGATGATCAAATCACTTTTGACTTACAAACCTTCTTCAATTTGGCCAAGTATTGTTAAATGGTATCAATGTGTTAAGGATAACACATTTTGGATGGTTGGTAACCGAAACAAGATCAGGTTTTAACATGATCACTATACTATTCATACCTTTTTTAAGTTTGGATTCACACATTCTTGACCTGCTTAGAGCCAAAGTTCGAACTGTTGACACGGTCATAATTGGCATATCCCTTAGTATTTATTTACTAGGCTCCCTAACCTACATAATGAGTAGCAAAATCTTGTTATCACTGATATGGATGATAAGGTTTTTTGGACCAAATCTAACACGAGGCTCTCATTAGAAAGGATGTGGGGGATTTTATTAAGGTAAAAGGAACCACTACAAGGTGGTGTACACTAATATGGCACCAAAATATTCAACCAACTAGATCTCTTATCCTTGGGAAACTAGTCCATAATAGATTGAATACTGATGAGGTTGTTCAACATAAAGAACTACATAATTGTTCTTCCTACAATCTATGTAATCAAGTTATTAAATCAATTGGCCACTAATTTTTCCATACATATTTTGGATGTGGCTCCAAGAGGTAACAAGTATCTCTAATCCCTTAGGGAATGTGCTTCTAATGTTTCTAGTACCAAGTATGTTGTCATGATTATTTCCAATCATAAGTCACAGATCCTCCAAGCTTCATCTTAAAAATACTAAAATTTCTCCTTTCTATAGTCATATGTGTTTAGCAATTGTTGTTAAGAGACCGTAATAACTCCTTAACTCTCGAGCACAGCTACAAAATAATTATTTAAAAAAGTTTGGTACCCAAGTCAATTTAGGTCTAGATTGATTACAAACCATACCCGACACTCTAGGTTTCCAAGCAAATTTTTCAATTGGCATGCCAAGCTTCCTCATGCAACAAGACTTAGGCAGATGACCTTTATCCATACAATAAAAACATTTTTAAATGAAGTGTTTGATGATTTTTTGTAATTGAAATAATTTATAAAATATTTTTTATTTTCTTCCTTATTTAAAACAAACTCCAACTTTATTTATAACACATTTATGATATTTCAAAATAACATTAAGATTGGTTCTAACTTGAGTGAAATTTACTCACATTTTAATAAGGTATTTTGACTTTTGATTACAATTTATTAACCTCATTATTTAATCAATTGTTCTTATATTTAAGTCTCTTATTAAAATACTCTAACTTATTGGCTTTATTTAGTCATTAAAAGTGTAAGTGATTATCACAATTTATCATTATTTACCTCACTTACTAATTCTATGTCTACCATGAGGAACAAGTTGACTTGCCCATTATCATTGGTCAACTCGATTGATGATGTCATCTGATCCTCGTCATCCTCCCCGAGAGACTATCTAGGTTAATAAGTTATGCACATTTCTTTGCCTTGAAGTTGTATTGGGTTGGTCTATTCGCAACTTTTGTCCACTTAACCTATAATTTTTCTTTTTGCACATCATTCATCCAAAACATAGGAGTGAAGGGATTATTGACTATAGTATTTCACAATGTCTCTATCAATTTATTCAATAAAAATTAGCATCCTAACTATCCCAATTGATAATTAACTCATTAAATATTGGTGGTTTATTGATTGTAGCACCTTTTATAAACAA